AGAGAGAGAGAGAGAGAGAGAGAGAGAGAGAGAGAGAGAGAGAGAGACTTTGATTTTGGAGGACTTTTGTCGCCTTTAACAAAGATGAAAATATAGATTTTTATTATTATATATTTATAACGTTTATAATGAAGTCTGAATGAGAGAACCGTTTGGTTTATAACAAAGTCCATAGGATTTACGGCTTCGTAGAAATCATACGCGGATTTCCGGAAACGTATTTCATATTAACATTAATATGTGAAAATATGATGTTTTTTATCACATGTATTGTCATCACTGGTGTCGAGGCTATGGGTGCTTGAAAAGGAGGAGTTCGGGGGACTTGGAGTACAGTATAGCCTACGATATACCGGTGCTGACAAACACATTACTTATTTAATAAGGGATGACAGGGAGTGAGTGAGTAAATGATAGGAGAGAGAGAGAGGACATATAATTTACGATATATTGTTATATACATTGTTAATACTTATCCCTACACCTTATATATATACCGGAATATTCTGGCCGTTAATTATATACGTGTCAATAAAAGCGAGACACTATTCATAGAAATACGGTATTAGTTACTGAAAACATTTTTAGCTTATGTTTTTAGCGAAATATTTTCCCATAAAATATAATAGCAATAATTATTAAGTTTTTTTAAATACTAATTGTATGCAATTTATATGATGTTTAGTTGTTTGTATTAAAATTGTTTTGTATAACAAAAGTTTCATCATTATAAAAAGTGAAATGAAATTACTTTTATATCAATAATTACAATAAATTATAAGTTTGTAAATTGAGTTTTAATTGAGATTATGTGATGAAATGTGTGTAAAAGGATTATAAATTAAGGATAAATCCAGTATTTCTTTAGCAAAAAAAATGATCCGAAATTTATGTTTGATTTCATAATAACCTGAGAGAGAGAGAGAGAGAGAGAGAGAGAGAGAGAGAGATCCCAAAAACACATCAACTGAATTAATAATAAATAAATGTATTTAACATTTAATGAGATTATCGTTTATTTTCGCATTTAATAAACACTCAAAGCGTTTTCAATTTCATGAATAAAAATCACATAATATTTGTCATTAATATATTTTCTGGCAAAAATACAGGGCTATAGTCTTGTATATGGAGGGGACGGGTAGGTAATTAAGCTCCGGGATGTGTAAATGAAACAAACACACACTAAAATCATGATCACATTTTGATATTTACACAGAGAGATTCAACTGGATGTTCAGCGCAAGGCTATAAAAACCAATAACTAATTACTTATATTAATGAAAAAATTATTTAATTTTGTATTTTGTGTTTCGCAAACACATGTATTGATTGCATTTTAAGGCAGAAATTTCAATATAAAATAGCAAAAATGTTCATTTATAGTGAATTAATTTATTATGATATTTATTAGTATTATTATCATTATTATCGACTCAAATATTGCCATCAAAAATAGCTTCGAGTCCTGAATCAACCAAAAGTCGCAAAATCAAAAATCCCTGTCCAATGTCACGGCACCCATACTTATGGATAGCACTGTATATATAATACATGTAGATTGAAAAATACAAATAAAAACAATGCCTTTCATACCCTCATAACCAGAAAAATAATAATATTTCAAACAATAAATTAATAAAAGTATTTTAAAATTACATAAAAACAAGAAAATTGTTTCTCAGTTTTCAATGATAAACAACTAATGATTTTTATTTTCGGTGACAAATAATAGCGATAATAATATTAATAAAAATCCACTATTTATTTCCCAATCAATGCATTTAATTATTATTTATTGTTATAATCGGTGAGAAAAGTAATGATTGAAAACAAAACAAACAAAAAGATTTAAACAAAACCAAAAATAATTCACAAAAAATCCTCACAATTAAGATAATAATTATCTGTAAAAAAGTATATATAAATCCCTAAACAAAATCTCATTGAATTTTTTCAAACACTGTTTCTCATTGACATAATTGATAACAAATTATTTACTAATTTATTATTATTATAATTATTAATATTATTAATACCATAGATATATCCAAAAGAGATGGCCATTCAATACACAAATTATAGATTATATTATCGCAAATATATTATTAATTAATTGAATAATTTGCGCCTAAAATCAAAAATATAAGCCTCACTAATGATTAGTGATAACAGCTAAATGTCCCTGGCACTATTGTGATCATAACCAAGTTTATATAGCAAAATAATATTACTCTAATCGAATAGGGATACAGCATTAGCACAGCCACACTATCTCTACCTTACGGGCCAGTAGTTTAACCATTGAATTAACATTAGATTCTACATTGTATTCAATACTTAATCGCGCGGCACATAGAAAATGCATTAATGTAATCAAACACTCGGGTAGAGTGACCAGACATACCTGTCCTCTAAATAGGAGTAGTATAGCGTTTCGATCGGTCGGGTAATCGGCTTTCCTAACGCATGTAATCCATTGAATGGCATTTAAATCCAATAACTCTAACCAAGCGGTGAATGTTGCGCTCCTGTCGGTTACCTTAATGCAAAAAAAGTCAAATAATTATAAATTATTTTTTAATTAATCATTATTGTTGATCATATATGATGATGATTATGATTTTTATACCGGTGTTAAATATTATGTAAGTGAAATACCCCCATAAATCTATATAGAGATAGATGTATTGTAATTAATCTATTATGCATGCGGTATATAAATATATGGTTAGATTTGTTTTTAGTTTTTTATATTATAATGTTTTGTTTGAAATCATCAGTGAATCTCATGTTTGAAATGAGTTTTAGATATTTTCGTTTTGTATTTATTATTATATTATTTATATATTGAATTGCATTGTATTTAAAATTATAATTATATGACAAATATATGGTAATAATTATATTGATGAAAGTGTCTTTCTGTGTATTCTAAGTACACTTTTTAAATCCTATTAGCGTATAATGTATTCACTTATTATGTATTCCCATATACTGTACTCTTCATTGCAATAATAGGCTTAATATTAATTGTTTTATTTATATTTATGTATTTTAGGATTTCATTTGTTATAATGAAGCGAAAATAATTCACATATTATTGCATTTTGGTAATAACTTATGCCATCAATATTAATGATTTGTCATTTTATTTGTTAATATAGTGGAGAGAGAGAAAGAAAGAGAGAGAGAGAGAGAGAGAGTCAGCTATGAGTTTATTGAGTGGGTTATGGCTTTATATAAATAAAGTATATTTAAACGCAACTATAAAAATAATTTTTACTAATGTTTTATAGAAGAGTAGAGAATTTTAAAATACAGAGAGAGAGAGAGAGAGAGAGAGAGAGAGAGAGATGGGTATCATAAATGTAT